GTATTGGATCAGAAGTGGTGTCACAGATTTGTTGAGTCTGCCTTAGCAGCAAGATCATCCATAGTGTTACCAGAGATTCCAACATGGCTGGGTAACCAGCATAGGACGATGTAGCATTGATCAGTAGCAATATCATTATACAACTCAATAATTTCTAAAAAAAAGTGGATGTTTGCAAGAAAGGATTTTAATAGCCTGAATGCACGAAAGAGAGTCAGAAAAATTATGTATTATGTATGTTTATATTTGGGGTGTCTTTTAATGTATTTAAGAGCTGTTAGTATTGCGTTTGCTTCTGCTGTAAAAATAGAGCTATTATCCGGTAATCGAGAAGATGTTGTTCTTGATCCAACGACAGTGGTACAAGCTACTGCGCCACCGCCCTTGCACCCATCTGTAAACACGGATTTGTATGTATTCATTACTTTTTAATTGATTATATTCTTGTTTACATTGTAATTCATTAGTTACTGATAGTTTAAACTTTGTCAGTGTTAGGTGAACGTGTGGCTTCACTAATTGCGATGGAGGAGAAGAAAAAAAGACGAGATGGAGATATCTTCTCCAGCTCAATGCCAGCCGCGGAAATAAATTGTTGGATTCTTATCCCTAGAAGTGGAACAAGTGAAGATTTTTTATTATACAAATCCTCATAAAGAGGATTAAAAACGCAGTTGTGAGCAGGACTGGATTGATTAGAATATAGCTTTGTGAAGCCAATTTGATACGGTGAAGTTTTAAAGAGTGAGTGAGTGAGTGAGTTAAAATTTAACGTCACACCGGCAAAGTTTCAGCCATATAGTGACGAGAACAAAGTTAGTATATATGATACATATCTGTCACGAAGGACAGTAAAACTTTAGCAACGTATCACAGAATGCAAGTCTAAAAACTAATCATTTCTAATTTTAAAAATGCAACTCGATATGATATATATTAACATTAAAACACGGGCTATGGACCACCAACATCCAATGCTAGGCCACCTTACTGGGGTTCATGGGGACTTACAGTACTTCAGCTTCCTGCATGAATCCCCAGCAGGATTTAAACCATCACTTCAGTCACTGGTAGTTGTATTCAATGCTAGCCATTAATTAAAACAATACAATTGAAGCAATAAAATTCCGGTTGTCTGCAATGTACTATAAAAATAGTATGCAATCATAAGGGGACAATCTTTTTACGATACTTCAACCCCAATAAAGACCAATATAATAACAGTGTTTGATTACATCAACCTCAGTTAAAACACATCCATTCAAAAACTACTGAACAATCCTGAACAATCTCTTTTTAAAAATACTGTAATTAAATGAGAATTGATTGTGTTAAAAAGATCCTTTAAATGTGAAACTTGTTAATATGTATCCCTTATGAGAGAAAATTCTACACAGTCAAGCAAAACGTGCTTGACCGTGATTGTCTCATCACAAGGGATACAAAATGGAGGATCTTCCCCTTTCGATAAATATTCATTTGTACATTTGCTGTGGCCAATACGACATCGTCGTATGGTGACCTCTTCAAATCTGGACTGACAGCCCAAGTTGGTGTAACCGATATTTGGTTTTATTGCATGTAATTTATTGATACCTACTTGGGTGTCCCACTGCTTTTGCATGATATCTCTGATATAGCACATTTATGATAGGTTTCATATTCCCTGGCTCATATCTACGAGTACATTCTGGCAAAATTCCTCTAAAGTATCTTTTGAACCAACTAGAATGAGAACAAGAAGAGGTCGAAAGGTCCTGGCTATAACACTTAACGATGGCTGTCAAATATGTTGCAGAATTTGACCACTTGATTCTCATAATTCGGTGGCTCCTAACCATAACACTGGGATTACCAAAACTGTATTACAAGGTCACTTGAAAAGATGGTTCATTCTATGGAGCAACTAACATTCACCATTACCTGGCTAATCCTAAGCAAAATCTGTGCAATATTTATTCGATCGTATGGTGAGGTGAGGTGAGGTGAAATTGGGTTTAACGTCGTGCTTGAGAATATTTCGCTCATATGACGACGTGCATGCATGTGTACGATCGTATGGTATTCATGTGAAATATTGGTTGGTTGGTTCGCTGTTTTACGCCCCACTCAGCAATATTCAGCAATATGGCGGCGGTCGGTAAATAATCGAGTCTGGACCAGACAATCCAGTGATTTACATCATGAGCATCGTTCTATACAACTGGGATATGATGACATGTGTCAACCAAGTCAGCGAGCCTGATCGCCCGATCCCGTTAGTCGCCTCTCATGACTAATATGTGTTACTGAAGACCAATTCTAACCCGGATCTTTACGGGTCCATGTGAAATTGAGGATGGTTGTTAGAAATATAGACAACAACTTCTGTAATTGTTGAAAGACCTCCAAAATTACAATAAAACACACATATTATATCGTGAAGCAGGAATAAAGCAATGGCAGATATAACCATAAATTTGCGTTTTGATTCACTTACAGGGCGGTTGGGTAGCCTAGTGGTTACAGCGTCACGCCAAAGGCCCGGGTTCGATGCCCCACATGGGGACAATGTGTAAAGCCCATTTCTGGTGTCTTCTGGTGTCCCCCGCCGTGATATAGCTGGAATGTTGCTAAAAGCGGCATAAAACTAAACTCACTCAAATGATTCACATTCTGGTGAGAATGTAACGTAACCATTTTCCGATTTTATGTCCCCCTTTTATGACTAAATTGGTCACACTATAAACTAGAAGCCAAAGTTTCCATTTGGCTTTAGCGTGGAATGTTCCAGCAATTTCCTAAAAATCAGACATTTTATTGAGATAAGTTATCTCTGTTTCCTAAGTTCTGACATGACCCTAACAGTCTGGTTGATCCTGACATTCATGCCCACTCGTGTTATTCCGGGACAAGCCGAATACTGATCTTCTTGGAGGTTACGGAAAGGGACGAGTGGTGACGAATGAGAGCCTGAGTGAACGTTGACCTCCTACTCTTACAGAAACCCACGTGGTTTCTTCATTGCACCAATCGAAGTTCAGCTTTCTACGATGGTTGGACGAAAGTAGCGGGACCAATCAACGAAGGTTGTAAAAACACACTTAACAGGTACGATATGCAATACTTGCTGCATTTGGGACAAATAGGCAGCCTTATTTAACGTTGAATAGCTGTTCGCAGTGAGCTGTCGCCATGGCTGTGGCTTTGAACTTATCCGACATTCTCCGTACTTAAGAATGTCAGTAGAATTGGTCTTCGGAAACCCATGCTTTTCGAACCACAGGATCGAGCTTGATGATTTGTTGATCGATCAATGGACTGATCGTGGCAGATTTGACGTTTTGCAGCTCATACAATGTATATCGGTGAGCTTTAATATTGCTGAGTGCGGCGTTCAAAGGTTCTTTTATACTGCTAACAACTGACAATGAACCATATGCCATGTGCCGTCTGGACAAAGCTGCAAGAAGGAAAACAATCAATATCGAGATGTTAATAATGAGTGATTTGACTTTTATCCCACTCTTAGCGATATACCAGCAAGGTCACGGCGGGGGACACCAGGAATTGGCTTCACACAATGTTTCCATGTGTGGAATCAATCCCGGGCCCTCGGCGTGACGCGCGGAAGCTTTAACCAATGGGCTACCCCACTATATAAGCGTGTAACGAAGAACGATGTGATCTTATGGAAACATATAGGTGGATTATATAATCCGACTGCAGATACTGATAGAACTCTATCTTCAGTCGGAGAAGAAATATGTCAACAGGTTATGACTGAATGAGACAGTGTTAAGCACTGGGTGCTATGGCAACGTTTTGACACTCCATGCATGTATAACTCATTTTGGTATTTTTCTTGTTATTGTTTAAGTTAGTGAGTGAGTGAGTGACCCTAGCTGGATTTACATCATCCCTTCAGCCACTGTCGATTGTAGTCAAATCTAGCCCTTATATAAACTTACAAAAAAACTACATTATAAACATGTTGTAAGTTTAAATGTACTTTAAAAGTGTTGGGACTTACGTACCCCCTAAGGATCTTATTGTATGAAATGTGATAGGTTGTGAAGTGCCTAAATGGTCCAAATATATGTAGCGTTTGGTTGAGTTAAATAGTTTCAAGATCATGCAAACTAACAAATGTGCATCATCACCTCTACATCACCGTGTGTGCATCATCACCTCTACATCACCGTGTGTGCATAATAGCCGCTACGTCTACGTCTGCGCATCATCGCCGCTCCGTCAACGTGTGTGCATCATCGCCGCTACGTCAGCGTGTGTGCATCATCGCCGCTCCGTCAACGTGTGCGCATCATCGCCGCTCCGTCAGCGTGTGCGCATCATCGCCGCTCCGTCAACGTGTGTGCATCATCGCCGCTCCGTCAACGTGTGTGCATCATCGCCGCTCCGTCAACGTGTGTGTATCATGGCCGCTCCGTCAACGTGTGCGCATCATCGCCGCTCCGTCAACGTGTGTGCATCATTGCCGCTACGTCAACAAGTTTTTATCATCGCCGCTACGTCTACGTGCGTGCATCAACGCCGTTATGTCAACGTGTGTGCATCATCGCTTCTACATTAACGTTAGTTCATCATCGCCTCTACGTCAACGTGTTTGCTTCATCGCTTCTCCGTCATACTTTGTGCATCATCAGCTCTACGTCAGTGTGTGTGTTTCACTGTCTCTACGTCAAAGTGTGTGCATCATTGACTATACGCAAAAGAGTATGCATCATAACCTCGCCGTCAATGTGTCCATCTTCGCTTCTTCAACAACGTGTGTGCACCATCGCCTCAACACGATGCTATCCCACCGTCACTTCATTGTCATCTTTTGTGCATTTATATCTACACCATCCTGTCTAGTGGAGTAGTCTTGTAGGTAAATCGTCCACTGGTCACGTTAAAAAGGCCCGGGTTCCATTCCCCACATGTGTACGATGTCTGCAGCCCGTTTCTGATATGCTGTGCTAAACACTCACTCACTCGTGAAAAAATACGAAAGAACGGTTTTAGATCAGGTTTTAATTACTTTGCCAAGCTTTATTCAAGACGGGTAGTTTTTGTGAACAAACTTCTGTTTCGAACTGCAGCCAAAGACGGTGTTGTTCTGAAAAATGGAAAGTGGAATTATATTTATGCTTTGATTCCATATCGTTGGACATATTCTCTTTATATCGATGGGTGAAGAGTCTGCGTGCTGTTCTCGTATTTTATCAACTCATGGTGTGTTACGTTGTCAAAGAGCCACGGTTGGTGTAAGTTTACGTCCAATAGAATCTGTTTTGTCAGAGTCAAGAATGGCATCTAATTAAACGCTTTGGGTATGCTTGTCAGTGATATGGCAGTGCAAAGTTTACGTCAGTCGTTACGTCACACAAGAAATAAGACTGGTTATCTCCCCTGGGTAGTTCAGCTGTCCACTTCACGCTCCTCTGAAAAACGATTATCAACATTAATATATTACGGGGACATCTGCTAATCGTGTACATACAGTACGGTGGATATCTCTGTCGACCTGTGGAGAGATTCCAGGATTGGAACTTTCGTGCCTCCCAAGAGCCTGAAACTGATTGAGAAAGTGCAACCCTACACTGCGACAAGTCAATGGACGCCGGCAATGGATATCTCCTACAGATTGCTACTGTGTGGCACGCTATTCAGTTCTGTGATGTGCACAGGATCACTCTTAGGATCTTGGATGACGGATTTTGAACTCAACTTGATCCCGCCAGCCTCTTTATGTCCACAAGGTGAGATATGTGATCTTCCGGTAGATGTGACGTCATTGTTTACATGGCGAAAACAGGTATCACTTGAAGTATGTATCTTGCCGAGTGTAATAGCTGCACCCTCAATGATCCACTAAGCTGGAGATGTGGAACAAAACCCAGACCCATCTACTAGGGAACTAGAGGAAATGAAGACAACGATATTACGACAGATTAAGAGAGTCAGAAAGGAGATATATATTCCGCTAAAGAGGACATAAAATCTATGAAATCCGATATTACAGATTTGAAAAGTAAACTGCAACTTAACATTGAGGAACAACTGGTAATGAAACAGGACATCGATGAATTGATTAATAAAACTGATAAGCTCGACACATATATTGGTGATCTCGAGGACCGTATAGAGGACCAGGAACGAAGAAACAGGCGAGACAATATGGTCATGTACAATATCCCAGAGAGTGAGAACGAAACTTCTACAGAAAGTAAATCAAAGGTGCTGGATATACTGAATGAGGGCTGGAAATCCAAAGACCTACGTCCACTCGTTGCCAGGGACATTGAGAGAGCACATGGTATCTCTGGCAGGCGGTGAAGTTGAGAAGCGCCCTGAAAGAGAAAGGAATAGGAATTGCCAATGACTTGACAAACTTCCAAAGAAAGAAATTGCAGAGACATAGAATTGAACACCCCGACTCACCATTCTACTACAAAGGGAACAAAACAAGCTAGTCAGGGAACGCGGAGAGGATACCACCCAGGAGAACCATGTGTCTCAGCCTGAGGAGAGACGGGGAGACCAGAGCCAGGATGAGCAACCCAGACGCCAGCTCAGATCCAGTACCCACACTTCTGACAGGGGAAACTCACAATAGCGGTGGGGCCAGGGCTACGTGTCGCCATGCAATGATTGTCACACGGTGAATCATGATACCCGTGACCCACAGGAACAGCGTGCTGATTGATTGTGACAACTTTATTAGCTTCATATTCTGGAACATTTCCGGGATTTATCAGAAACTTACAGATATTGACTTCTGTAATTATATATCTTCCTTCGACATTGTTGGAATTACAGAAACTTGGTGTGTTGATATAGACTTAGGAAATACCTTCAAAGACTACCAAATATATAGTACGGATGCAGATAAATTGTCAACATGGGGCAGGCTCTCTAGTGGAACTGTGGTTCTTGGTAAAAAACACATAAACTGGCATCAAATGGTGCAATATCTCAGAATATGCTATTTTCATTCTATTTGATAAAAAATTATTCGGATATGATCATGATTTACTCTACTCATGTGCCTATATCAATCCAGAGGGTTCAACTTGGTATGACACGATGAGCGCCCATTGTAAAAATGGTATCACTATCCACTAAGACAGCTTATTAGATCTGTTAGTAGAACTTGGCGAGGTCTCTGTACTAAGTGGCGGTGATTTTAATGCTAGAACAGGAAACAAATGTGATTTTGTAGAAGATGACATAGTGGAGTACACGGAGAAACATAGTAACTCCACGTGGGACTTCATAGTTGATTCATTCAATCTTGAACGCTTCTCCTTTGATAAATCCGTAAATAATTTTGGGAAATGTCTTTTAGATTTATGCTCAGTTTTCATTATACACATTCTGAATGGGAGATGTGGTAGGGATGCAAATGCTGGTGACTTTACGTTTCTAGGTGTTAACGGTGCTAGCGTTATGGACTACATTCTGGCTCCGTCATCTCTGTTTGACATTGTGACTTTGGAATAGAGTCTCGCTCTGAATCCCAGAGCCCTCACATCCGAATCGCCCTCACCTCCCAGTTACATTAAAATTACGTGCGCTTCATAAACGTCCATATACACTTGATAGACAAAAAGATAATACCAAATCATTCAGGTTTGTTTGGGATACCAACAAACTACAAACATTTAGAGATAATCTTTTCTCTGATTCCATCCAGGAGTTACTTGATAAATCCGTTGATTCAGCAATGATTGATATTGATAAGAGTGTAAACTACTTAGCCGACGCCCTATGTCTAGCTGCTTCAAGTATGAAAAAACAAACTGGGAAAATTAGAAATAATACCAGGAATAGAATTACTTGTAAATGGTTTGATGCCGAGTGTAATCTTCTGAAAAAAAGAAAGGTGCAGATCCCTAAACCATTTCAGAAAAAGTAAAACCATTGAGAATCTCCGCGAGCATCATAATGCAAGAAACAATTATAATGCTACTTGCAGACGAAAGCAACAGGACTATTTAAAAGATAGACAACAACGCCTAGAAGATAGTATTCATGATCCCAAACAATTCTAGTCAGAACCTAAAAGCTTAAGTGGTCAACGTAAAACAAATAACATTGATATTAAATACTGGCACGATTCCTTCAAAGATTTATTCTCCTCTCCTGATGAGAATGGGACTTGAATAGACTCCGAATTAGGTGGAACCCAGAGTACATCCCAAACAGATTCAGACATGCTGTTTATTAATGAGACTCTAGATTCACCTATAAGCAGAGATGATATTCTCGATAGTATTCACCACCTCAAATGTAATAAAGCCCCGGGAATAGACAATACCCTCCCTGAATTCTTTAAAAATTCAACAGATATCTTGTTGCCATGTTTTGAAATAATATTCAATGTGATTTTAGAAAATGGAAAATTCCCGGAAACATGGTCCCTTGGGGTTATTGTTCCCATATATTAACAAGGCAACTCACAGGATATGAACAACTACAGAGGTATCACTATTCTAAGTATATTCGGTAAGGTATTCACATATGTCATAAACAACAGATTAGTTTTCTCTCTAAATAAAATATGTGAAGAACAAGCGGGATTCAGAAAAGGATATTCTACAGTCCATAATATTTTCACTTTACAGGCTATGATACAAAAATACTTAAGTGTAGTAAGGGAGGTAAATTTTACGTATTTTTTGTCGACTTTGCCAAGGCATTTGACTCAGTAGAAAGAAAGAAGCTATGGAACTTACTAAAATTGCATGGTTTAAGCAAGAAAATGAACAAGTTATTATACAGTATTTATGAGAATGTAAAAGTGTGTGTCCGGAATAATAGTTACATCTCGGAAAGTTTTACTAGCCATGTTATTGATAATTCTTATAAATCTTTGAAATATTCTTAACAAGTGAATAATCCTCTAAAGGTAACAATAATTTAAATTGTACAAGATTCGGCCATTTACTGTAATAAGTCGGGATATATTGGGATCTTTTGTTGTCAAAGAACGAGCATTTAAATAGAGAGTGGAATTCGTCGGCTATTGCCGGTGAATTACAAAGATTACAATTAGGGTCTACAAGCACAAGTCAACGAACTAGAAAAGTATTCTAACGAATGGAAATTGACGGTGAACAGATCAAAGTCAAAAGTCATGGTGTTTAAAAATGGGGGTCAACTATCAAAAACAGAAAATGGTATCATAAATGGGAACGTTTGGAGACAACTTCATTTTATAAATATTAAGTTGTATATTTCAGCAGAAATCTTTCAAGACACAAACACTCAATTCAGGCAGCAACGCAAGCTAAAAAGGTGTTCGTAGGTATTTGTAAACAGACGCATTCCTTAGGCGACCTCTCGCTCAAGACCTTTCTCAAAATATTTGATGTCAAAATAAAACCAATACTGTTGTACGGCTCTGAAGTATGGGGCCTACAAAATATGGACTTAATAGAGAAAGCACACTTGTATGTATGCAAGAAATGTCTATGAGGAAAATTAAATACACCCAGTGTTATGGTTTATGGCGAAATGGGGAGGTTTCCGCTGTCTATCTACTCTTCCATAAATGTTGTCAAATACTGGTTAAAACTTTAAGATATGCATGCATATAGAATACCGAAAAAATGTTATAACATGATGATCGTGTATGATAATAATGGAAAACAAAACTGGGTTACGGGGGTGAGACTGCTGCTCTCTAAAATCGGTTTTGGTAATGTATGGTATAATCAAAAAGATAACCCACAATGCAATTTTATCATGTCAGTGACACAAAGATTGAAAGACATCTATATGCAATCTTGGACCGAATCCATACCATCATCAAATAAGTGTTTTTATTATAAACTTTTCAAAACTCATTTCAGTACAGAAGACTACTTATGTAATATACATGCTAAAATATTTAGGATAGCGCTGTCTCGTATCCGTTGCTCAATCCATGATCTCTTTGTTGAAACTGGCCGTTACACAAACATCAACCGAGATAAAGGAATTTGTAAACTATGTAGCTTAGAATTGATTGAGGATGAATACCACTTTTTACTCGTTTATCCATTATACTTATCACTTAGAGAAAAATATATCCCAGCATATTATTATAAGTACCCAAACTCCACTATATTTACACTGTTGTTAACAAACCCAAATGTAAAAATACTTAAGGATTTATCATTATTATACATAAACAAATAAATTAATAACTACACAGGGTATGGTCAAATGCAAGTATGTATATGTTCCATGAAGTTTTATATTGTATTAATAATGGACTGTACTATAGGACGGGGCCTTGTGAGTACTGAAATAAAGAATTATTGAAATTATTGGAATTACAAGAAATAACGTCACACCTCAAAGGTGTTGACGTCATTCTGTTTGTTTTTCTAAGCCTTGATCAGTGCATTTTTCTAGAGAGGAGCTCTAACGGATTAAGAAATGAGGGGCAATATTGAAAAAGACACTCGCGTGTGTGTCAGACAGATTTTACGAAACTTACGAATTTACGTGTTGGGGAAATACAAAAACTATTACCCTTTTTTTCGTATACAGATCTCCATTAATAATATTTCCCTAACTTTGGATGACCATCAGTATGGGTACTGAATAATTAAAGGTAGACGTAATATTTGAAAATATATGTCCTTAGACTGGTTAAAATTTTCGAAATATGCATCTGTTCACTCTTCAGCGAATAAGTACAGGGTAAGATGAGCTGACTGTTAGACGCTGTAGCGCTTCATACACCGCTTGCGCTGTATGTTTCCCAGGGAGTTGAGAATAGGGCACTCGAGTACCCGACAAAGGGAGATAACTCTAAACTAAACGTGACCAAACGTGCAGTCATGGATGAGAAAAGGTCGAACGTATGGGCCCATTTTGATCTTGACAGTTCAAAACACAAAACCAAGTGTCGCCTTTGCGGCATTATGCTGAGTTATGCAGGGAGCTCAACCAGCTCGATGAGAAAACATCTTAACATGAAACACAAGTCCGTTAATGTGGACGATTCTTCCCAAACTCCAGTCAAAAAGCAAGCCACGCTGACGCAGGGATATTTTGGTGGTTACAACCGAAAAAAGCTTGACTCAAAAACATACGAGACACTCACATGCAAGGCCATGCTGATGTGCGTTAGAGACCTCAGACCTTTGATGGTTTTCGTGATTTTTGTCACTCACTGAATCCCAGTTATATCGTACCATGTCCAAAGACCCTCCATAATTACCTTATGAAAGAATATACCGACACCAAAACTCAGCTTAAGGATATTCTAAAGCAGTCCCCTGGCGTATCTTTGACAACAGATATGTGGACCAGCTGTGCCACCCACGGTTACATCACCGTCACAGGGCATTACATCACAGACGAGTGGGATCTAAAATCATGCATTCTTGCCACTAGACGCGTGGAGGAAGCTGATGCCTTAGTATCCATCCCAATGGAGTTTGAAATTGAGTATGTTTGTGGTCTGACAACAGTCAACGCAAGCAATATGACTGTGGCGGCGAGGGCAACTGGCTTCCCACACGTGCGATGTTTCGCACATACCCTGCAGTTAGCTGTCCATGATGCACTGAAATTGAATGCCATTGACAACGTGATTATTCACGCACGAAAACTGGTAAGTTATTTTTCGAAATCTGTCCTAGCTACACAGGAGCTTGAAGATGTACAGAAGCGTCTTGGCAGAATGGTGAAGCACGTAGTCAATGATGTTACAACGAGATGGAATTCTGTATATTTCATGTTTGAGAGGCTAAATGAGTTGCATGCATCAATTGTAGCAGTTCTTCATGATGACAAATTCAAGAAACCAAAGCATCTCAACCTCAAAGACAACCAATGGCTTCTCGAACAGTTGATAGTTGCCCTCAAACCACTTGTTTCTGCAACAGAGGTGTTGTGCAGCGAGGAGCTCCCAACTGCTGCTGGAGTTTATCCACTGGTGTTTGCCTTAGTCACAAAACACCTCATTCCGTCGGATTTGGACACTCGCATTGTGGCTGACATGAAAACAACTTTAGCAGATGGACTTAAATCCCGCCTTGTGACAGCTGACTTCTGACTATCCCCAACCATGACGGCCAAAGCACTGGATCCGTGTTTCAAAAATCTTCGCTTTCCTAATGAAGAACAGCGGAGAGGAACACGAGAACATGTTATGTTGTTACACTCTTGAGGGAAACATCTGGAGAAGGTCAAGAACCCCCTCCTTCCACCCCACCAGCTACCGAACAAGTAACTGTCAAGCAGGAACCAGTGTCACCAATGAAGAAAACCAAGTACCGTGAAACAGAAAAGGCTATGAATTTCCTGTTCGGAGACATAATTGAGATTGCCGCTGACCAGAACGCTGACTTGTCTTCAAGAAATGAACAACAAGAGTACAAGGATTTCCTTACTTCTGCAGCAAAGGTTTCTAACTTGCAAACGGGCAAATCATTCAGTTTCAGCTGGTGGAAAGAAAACAAACACTGTTTCCCAAGAGTTGCAACCCTTGCACAACGTTTTCTCTCTATTCCAGGCACTAGTGTACCATCAGCAGCCGGGCTTACAATCACACAACAGAGAGCTTAACTCCACCCCGACACGTCTGATGCTGTCATATTTCTTAACAAAAACATGCGTACCTCTTTCGCAAAGCCAGAATCCACAGTTGCCACAATGCCGGATTATACAGCTTCTGAAACTGAGCGCGCTCCTAACATCACAAGAACATTACAGGACTTTCCCCCAGTGAAATGTGAGTCAGTACAAAAAAAACAGAACCTATCTCTTCCCGATCTGCCAGAAGAAATGCTTAACAGTTAAAGATGACACATTTGTGATGCATGGGATTACCAGCTGTTTTCCAGTTCGTTGTGTTCATGTTATAGATATTAATATTTGTGTACCAATTACCATAGAGAGTTAAATGTACTTAAATTGGGTTCTGATTCAATCATTGTTGAAGCATATTTTAATGTCTAACTTACTCAGTTGTCAAGTATACTGACTTATTCTCCGGACATAACATACACAGAGTAACAGAGATTGTACTCCTAAATCGAGGTGAACTCAAGAGTTACAGTTTTAATCAGTACTTAATTATTTGTTGTTACTTCAGGGATATGTGTTTCCCATTTAAATCGTTTCATTCTTCGACAATTTAACCAACTTGATTTCGATTGTTAAAAGAATTGCATTGTGGCGCTAGTTTGGTTATTTCATGATTGATACAATGTTTTATCTTATAACTATCATAAGTTTATTGATTTTCTAGTTTTCAAGTTACATGCGTTAATCAACACGTACAACTGTGTCAATGTTGTCAACAGCTGATGTGGACATTTCATTTTGTTACAATGCGCAAGCTTTTGAAAGAAATTCACATTTGATATTGGTTAAACGAAATGTGCTTTAATAAATGTTCTGATTTTGACAATGGCTTGTTTTTGTTTTGTTCTCTGCATTGTGGGTTGAACCTCATTGTCTCAAAGCTTTTCAAACTCTCGATTTTGTGTATTAAGAACAACGTGTTGCAACATGCGACCCTATGCTTCACATGAACTGGTTTCTGATATGGGCTATTGCTCAGTTGAATAATGTGGCCCTGCATAAACCAATGCTAGTCAAATAAGTCAATGATATTAGGTTGTGGTTCGTCAAATTTGATAACCACACGTTTTAAGGAAAGATTTCGTGTAAGTTTTCAATTCAGTACAGACGTTATAACTTACAAGTGCGGCATTCTTGTGTGAAATTCCATTGAAAGCTACTTAAAACACACGCACATAGCTCTCCCTAAAATTGATGCTATAATTTTCGGGTACTCGAGTCCGGGTCGGGTTTTATCCCTCGGGTACTCGAGTCCGATTTTTGCTACCCGTCAGAGCCCTAGTTGAGAATGAAATTTATTAGCACTGTGATCCATTGACCGTAGTGGAGATGTTACAGGGCTGTGATTAGACCGGGTTGAAAGAAGGGTGCTCATTGTTGTTGTAATTGAGTGAGGCGTGAAGCCCATTTCTAGTGTTCCAGAGCGGCGTAAAACTACAATCACTCTTCACTTACCTAATTTGAACAGGCGCCAAAGTCAGCTACGTGGAGATCGCGGTGGGTACACTTTGACTTCTCGTATTCACACCTACAAAATAGATTCTTTGTTAGATATTTATTATGGAACAAAATTAAATCAGATGTGGCTGTAAGGACCACCAGTGTTAGGCATTTTGACCACCCAATCTCCGTTCTGCCCGCAAAGAACAAATGCATTGGATATGAATAATTGTTAATTAATATATTTTCCCAAACGTTTGTTAAATAATACATTTCGTAAAGTCGCCCATGCTGACAATGAAAAAAAATGCGTTGTGATGAAGGTATGAATCGCTTACTTGATACAAATTCCTCATACATAACCCGTTATGATCCGGGTTAGAATTGGTCTTCAGCAACCCATGCTTGCCGTAAGGGGCGATTAACGGGCTCGCTGTCTTAGTTGACACATGATCGATCCTTATGATGTTAATCACTGGGTTGTCTGTCTGAATATTGCTGAGTGCGGCGTTAAACAACAAACAAACTCACACATTGGCGTAGGTCTTGCCGTCGGTACCACACAGTGTCTCGGTGTCGTTTGGACAACTCTGGTGGGATAATTCGACACAGAAGTAGTCGAGTACTGCCTCCTCCCCTGTTATTCCTTGTCCGCCAGTCGCTGGACGGTCGTCACATTTCCCACGGAAAGCGATGTCAATATCCTTTCCATGACAATGGGCCTTGGTGAACGCGCACCTGTATGAAAAGTTGAGTAGTTGGCCATAAGTGAGTCATCATTAGTGAAATTTCCATAGACTTAAATGTTAATTAACTATTGCAAGCATTATTTTCATAAATTGAGTAGAAGTAATTATATCCAATGGACAGCCATGTTAACCAGATTGGTATGTCTAATATATGTTGTTCAAATAATTGCAGTTTTCTTAAAAATAATCGGAAAATTGAACGGAAATTATGTGTATGTAGATGAGATGATTTCCCAGCTGGTAGGTAAGTATTGGAAGCAATTCGAATGTTATGCATATTATTCTTGGAAGAGTAAATTAACATGCAGGCCTATGGGAATTTCACTAATGATGACTCACTTATGGCCAACTACTGTAAATGACAGTTTGGAGGCTCTTAGTGCCGTGTCCGATTGACCGTGGTTGATCACAAGAGTGGGTCACGAATGAATACAAATCTATCTATTGTATATTATTATTAACACAATCAGAATCATTTTAAGTGATACGTTTTAAGATTTTAAGAAGTGGCACATATGAATACATAATTAGACCTCGATACTTCGAACGAATATGTTTTGTTAGTGAGTAAATGCTGTTTGAAAGTTGCAAATAATAGATAGGGTTGATGTCATTTATTTATTTGTATTTGATGTTATTAATAATCTGTCTCATGTTGCCTGTTGTCACTTTCTTCTGGATGCACCTGTGGCTCGTGTGTTATTTGCAGTGCAGAGTAGCTTCCCTTAGTTGTGCCAGAAACCTATGATGAAACATTCGAATCCCAGCTCTTATTTCATTTCTATGCACTTCATCATCTTGGACGTGCTCATGAGTGCCATCAAATGGGGATAAACACAATCAACATCACTGCCTTCTTTCCAAGATAGACCACCTCCGTGGTGTAGTGGTTAGAGCGTCCACCCTCTGAGCGGAAGGTTGCAGGTTCGATCCCCGGCCGCGTAATTCCAAAACAAATAAATATGGTACTTGTTGTTCCCTGCCTGGCGCATTTATAGGTAAAAGAAGGACTGGTCAGCTCGGAGTCAGTATAATGTGTCTGAGTGGCATATTCATGCTTAACTGCTGCATGGTATCTCAGTGAGCTAGCACAATAAAACCATCTTAAGTCTGGGCTAGTACAAGCAGCCACACATGCGCGTCGTCATATGAGCGAAATATTCTTAACTACGACGTTAAACTCCATTTCACGTCACCTCACGTCACCATATCAAGACGGAAAAAACAGTGAAGATCCGGGTTAGAATTGGTCATCAGCAACCCGTGCTTGTCGTAAGAGGCGATGAACGGGATCGGATGGTCAGATTCACTGAGTTGGTTGACACATGCCATCATATCCAAATTACGTAGATCGATGCTCATGATGTTGATCACTGGATTGTCTGGCCCAGACTCGATTATTCACAGACTGCCGCCATATAGCTGGACGAAACGGTATGAAATATCTGAAATACTAAGTGGCGTGGATCAAAGTCGCTCTTTTCTTTTGGATGTGATAAATAAAGGAAGTGACGTGTCACGGTGTCAGTGATGTGTCACGATGTCACGTTCTTTAGTTATGAAACTTAATCGGGACTTACAAGTTTCTGTACGTGACGCCATCAGTGCCACATTCTTCACGCTCATGCTGCTTATCGCAGTTAATGTACATGATGTAACTACAGGAGTAGCTGCCAAATATGTCCGCCAGCTGTGTAGAACATACTGAAAAACAACCACAATAACATAGAGACGAGTCAGGGCAAGCATATGACCTATCTGTGCTGATGGATGTAAACGAAAACTCCTGGAATTTAACATATAGAGGTTGTTCCAGGTGGCATCAAATACTACCAATGTTTGTTGTTTAAGAGTGTCTAAGGCTAATGACAAAGGATTTCCACGACATCATGAATACAGCCTGCTGTCAGAGGGGCCACTAGGCGCGTAGCAAGCCATCTTCTCGTGTAAGCCCGATAAGTTGCAAAGCTTTATATTTAAATAGCATTGAGGGCTTGCCAAACCTTTATAGCAACACTCATGTGTAAGCCCGGGCGTTTTTATATAGGCAGCTACGCGCCTGGCTACACGTGTCTTATAATTATCACCTTGCAGAAATAGCAAATACAAGTCACGATCTAGCTTACCTGGATACTGAATAATTAATATGAACCGACGATCATTTTTGCAGTTAGAAATCTATTTATCTAATATCTGTACTGACTGTTGTCAGAGTGACAGCTTTAGTTTTCCTACCAACCAAATTTGCTCCACTTGGCTCGTAAAGCACAATGCAATGAAACATGGAGTTTGTCAAAATTATATTTACATTTCATAACTGTTTAGACACGTTTATCAACACAGTTAAGTTTTCAAACAAAATTAACAATATTGGTTTGAATTAGTTTTCTGTTTCATATTTACACGATGTTTATGACTACATGTACTTTGTGATTATCTAACTTATTCACTAAATTTGCTGAAAAAACTTGTCTTCACATTTCAGCGTAGTGTTGAATTAGCATCACACTATTCACACTCATTTGCATACCACGTGACCGGACGTGCTTTCTGTTATAAACAAACGCTTTTATTCTGAAATCAGTGAGTTTAGTTTTACGCCGCTTTAAGCAATATTCCAGCAATATTACGACGGGCGACACAGAAATGGGATTCACACACTATACCCATGTAAGGAATCGAACCCGGGTCTTCGGTGTGACGAGCGAACGCTTTAACCACTAGGCTACCCCCACTTCCCCCCTATCTGACATCAGAACGGACTGGCCAAATGCAAGACTTTCTGCGCTCTCAACATATCGTTTTGTACATGGCTCAGGCCAGCGGCAGGGGTACTAGTTTGGCCGCACTGGATTCTGGGTAGGACAGTGGAATGTCCTTTCCCGGTAAATGAGCACACTGTGTTCTTTGAACTGAGAATGGAATTGCGTTATTCCTTGATTAATTTGTTTTGTTAAAGGTAAATTAGGAAAAAAAAAAAAAGTGATCCTCGTGATTTATAAAAAAAATATATCGGATCTATATTTTTTTATTTACTATTTTCATGGAGTACAAAGTAATCTTAACGATGGTCTTTCACATGGCCTTATTGATTGAAGTATAAACGGTTTGATCAGAGGTTGCACGGCGGATCTGGACGGCAGGGAGTGTCTTAACAAAGGTCGAAACCCACAGCAATGATAAGTTTCGATGCTCTTGGATCACGCAAACAAAATATTTCTTTTAAAAACAAACCGCAAATACTGAGACGACTAACCACCACCAGTACGATGAAAGAATGAGTGAGTGAGTTTAGTTTGACGCCGCACTCAGCAATATTCCAGCTATATGGCGGCGGTCTGTAAATAATCGAGCCTGGCGAGACAATCCAGTGATCAACAGCATGAGCATCGATCTACACAGATAGGTTGCGATGACGTGTGTCAACCAAGTCAGCGAACCTGACCACCCGATCCCGTTAGTCGCCTCTTACGACAAACATGGGTTGCTGAAGATCAGTTCTAACCCGGATCGTCACGGGTCGTAGGATGGAAGAAAGGCTGCAGCGAATGGACGTAGCATTGTTAAAATGTCAAACGTCTACGATCTACATCACCCGTGATCGGAGGTCCTTCCAGATCAAGCAGACGCAGTGTTCAAACAAAATGAAGTCACTTACCGGCTAGGAGAGCAGCAATAACGACAGCACGAAGCATGGTGGTCAGGTGAGCTGGTTCAAGGAACAAGGCAGCAAAACCGTGTCAGTGGGCTATAAAAGAAGTTCAGACATAGGTGCGGCGGTTTCATTGAGTGATAAGGCCGGCTGTCTGATAGGCTTATTGGTTCCTTATGGCAAAAAAAATGGAACGGACTTATAAACCTGACATGAATCTTTGGTAATGATCAACTAGGATCCTTATATAATGATATATTGCCAAAATTAGTTTTTGGCAAATATTCAAGTCAAATAGAATATTCATTCATTCATTCATTTGGCTGGGGGAGTGACGTCCTGGCAGTTTGTCCTAAACGGAGCAGGTTAGAGAGAGGAAGGAAAGTTTCGTGCTCCCCACTCACACACACACACACACAAATGTAAACTAAAAAATGCCTTGATTCCTCTAGGGAGGCATTGACATAAGCGACCTAGGCTTGCCTGCCGGTCCCAGCCATGTGTCCTTTCATGGCTTAAATGCGTTTAAGCCATATCTTGTACATTGTCTCTTATTTACTGGCACAGACGGTACAAACGTCGCCTGAATGTAGTTGATGGTAGTTCATAGTAGCTTTCCTGAAGATATTTTTCTGATCTCAAGTAACATTCGCATACAGGAAAGAAAAGATTTTAATTTTCAACGCAATGTTTGTCACAAAATATGCAAATCAGTTGCTGCTCTATGCAATAATACCCTGGTTCAAGGCTAACCCTCGGTAAAGCAACGGATCACGTCGATCATTTGGTGGAGATCTAGGTATGGATTGCGTACACTTCTACTCCGTTGGACTGACTAAGACTGGCTGACTCTTGCTAAGATTAAACAAGGGTCAATGATAAGGCATGTGCCATTCTGTGAATCTCAACAGAGGCAGAGTCCAACCATGCAGTAATATACAAACACGAGAACCAAATGACACGAAGGGATCAATGGACTCGCAGTCAGACAAGGGGATGTTTTCTGTCCACGATCTTATCTCGCTTGCTTTGTTCCATGTGTGAGTCACGTTTTTTGTAGTGACATTCCTTTTTTTCCCAACCTCAAAATATGTCCTTTCATATTACGGTCAACCCAACTGAAGCTGATCTAATATAATGTTCGAAGTGGCCTGTAAACCTTCTAACAACCCAATACCAGGTCTGTATGCTGTATGGAGTTATCATGAATAGGTTAGCTTCTTAACACTGCTGCTAACTAACCTATGTTCATAATCGAAGACGAGCGGAATGGTAGCCTAGTGGTTAAAGCGTTCGCTCGTCACACCGAATGCCCGGGTTCAATTCCCCACATATTGTATATTGTGTGAAGCTCTTTTCTGGTGTCCCCCAGACGCTGGAATATTGCTAAAAGCTGCGTAAAACCGTACTCACTCACTCCTAATCGAAGACTTTGTGCTTCGAACTAAAGGAAAATGCGCACCCAAGCACGGATTGTGTTACCATTGACAAGGGTCACACATGTTAAAGCTACAAGGTGCCGTACGAAGTGTGAGTCGTGCTTTACAAATCGTGTAATCAAATCGTGACTACAGGAACGGCCGAGACTTGTGTCACGTGTGCCTGGACAAGTGACCAAGGACGTGACTGGAAATTGTTTCATGCACTGTTTACAATACACACAGTACAATCCGTTTGTCCCGTAACGAGAGCCATGGTTCGCAAATAACTCGAACTCAGGAATAGTCTATTAATTGGCTTAGTGATGGATTTGAACCCACAGACATATCTGAACACCTATTCTCGCGAAACATACACCAACTGGTAACTGGAACTGATAAAAAAATTAAGTTCTTTTTATCAAATTGGTCTCCGTTCGTCCGTGCGCCCGTCCGTGCACATTTGCCTTTTCTAGGGGTGGGTATTGCAGAGAATTTTCATATTGCGATATATTGCGATGCGAAAGCATATATTGCGATATGTATTGCAATATATTGCAAGAAGTTAATGCTTGATTTATAAAGCAAAAACACAACAAAATCACTATGCTTGATTAAGCTTTAATAAAAACTTTCAATTTACTTTACCATTACATATTCTACATACCGCGTTCCTCTTATCAATAGTTCCATCTACCGTGAACTTTTTTAAACCCAAAATGCTGCCATACTGAAGCCGTTGCCCTAGTATTTGGCACCACAATAAATTGTTCATTGTTGGGGGTCGCCATTTTACAACAAACGTATGACTTCCGGTGTGAACAACGGAAATATCCGAAGATGTCCGAGTGTTACGAAGTTTTCCGAATGCATGTCAAAATACCGGTTTTCGATCAACGTATTGCAATACGTATCGTTTTCATGTCTGAAGCGGTATATACAGGTAAACCGGTTATATTGCGCAGCCCTAGCCTTTTCCGGAGCAGAACTTTCTTTCGATATTTCTTCACCAAACTTACGTGAGTGAGTGAGTGAGTGAGTTAATATTTAACGTCACATCGGCAAAATCTCAGTCATATCGTGACGAAAACAATTTATACAATAAAACATGAAAAAATGTTGAAGAGTAAAACCTGTCGACGATGGACAGTATAAATACCAGAGTATCACAGATATGAATATAAAACTGGCATGTAAAACTAAAACATTTTAATTAAAGAAGACAATACAATATAAAACAGGGGCTATAGATCGCCAACAACCAAAGTTTGATCACCATACTATGGGGACTTACATTACTTTTGCCACCTGCATGGACCCTAGCTGGATTTATACCATCCCTTCAGCCGCTCGCGATGGTAGGGAGATTTTGCCGAAATTTTGAAATAACAAAAGTACTACGATTAAAAAGAATGGTTGAGCGAAATTGACTTTGAAAGTGTTTGGGACTTACGTACCCTCCCAGGACAATAATCTTACGATACTTTAACCCCCTTTGAGGATACAGTCACTAAAATCGCAGTTCATAATTTATACTACCATTTTATAATAACATTTATCTATTTACAAAACATATAATTCAGAATTTATCCAATAATTGTTTTTC